ACATAGGGTAAATTTTTGGATGAGAGTACGAATTTAGATCGACCTTTGCGAGTAGAGAGTTTGTGTCGATTAAGTGTACTTATGATTCATACTTCATGCTAACGTTTCTTAAAATGAGATTATGTTGCATGATTTCTAATATCAGTGCTTTTTGGTCATGAATTGGGATCTGAGGTTTTTCATCCCCTAGTTTGACACACTTATACTGTCACTGCTTGTTATAATTATAAATTGAAATTTTCCATGAATATATATATATATATATAGAAAAGGTAAGCTGATTTAACTTTTCATTATTAAACTTCAAAAGATAAATTGAAAATAATTATATTAGAGAGACAATTGGAGGAGCATCTATTGCATAAAAAATAATGAAAGTCTTTGTTGGTCATGTATAACCAATGGTTGACGCAAGGCCAATCTTAATTAAGATTGATGAGAACAATGTTGCGTTTACATTACTGATTATTTACTCTATTTACATGTTTATAAGTTTATGAGATTCGATTTGATAAGAAAATCTGTGGGATATTGTATATAGGAATCATAGCGTTTAAGTTTACATTTTTTCATTTCAGTTTTGATTTTTTATTTTTAGCTTTTTTCAAAGAGTTTCAGCCAAAACTTAATTGAGTTTCATTTGAAACTCGAAGATTTTGAATGAAATTTCAGCTAAACTCTCAAGCAATATTCAAAATTTTATTATAATCCTACCGATGAGGTCCTATCAAAGTTTGTGTGTTGTAATTTGACCACAGATGAATAATCCTCTTTGTTTTATTCGTTAAATATACTTTTTATACTTTCTTTACATACATTTTTGTACTGTTTTCTAATAACAAAGAAACCAAAACTACTGAAACTAGAAATTTTAAGAAGTGGCCAAAATCCAAACTTAAATCAATTTTAAACATTTTGATAAGAAGTACACGCATCTAAGTGTTCTTGCAACCCAGTGACAAATTATGTGGCAACTTGTGTAGCATGGTGCGGTGTAGATATCATTGTACATGATTCGTCTCACAGACAAAAAGGTTTAACATTCTGATAGTGGAAATCCAAACATTCAATGGAAGACAGGTTCTGATATGAATTAGAGTTTGGAGCGTTCTGTTTGCATTCATACAAATTCTTTTACCTTCAGATTCAGGTTATTTGCCAGAACTCAAATCTCAATCTCTGATATGTTATTTGCTGCTTTGCTCAAGTTTGCCTTTTAGCATGCGGTGCATCTGCAAGAAAATTGAATGGCGAATCTGTGTGATTTTTTTTCCGAGATAAGTCTAAGTTCTTAAGGAACATGAACTAGCTTAGAGTTTTATGGAGGCCATCTTGACAAGTTTGAAATAGTATCATAACTTGAACTATACTAGAGTTTTCTTACCCTACATGAACATGCCTCTTACTATGTTCAGCGTTCAAAATAGTTGCTTTGTTTGTACTGTAGCTCTTGAATCCCTAGAAACTCTTGGCTTATTCCAACATGTATAAAATCGAGTTGCTTGACTGACATTATGCAACAATTTTTGGTGATGGTCGTAGCGGGATGCAGCTACTGCTCCAAATGTTGGAGATCGGGTTCCCTATGTCATTATTAAAGCTGCAAAAGGCGCCAAGGTAAATTTTTTTCTTTACAATTCTAAAAATAAGCTAAGAAGTTGCACTGATGATTCTTCATGTCCTCGCAACTAGGCATATGAAAGATCAGAGGATCCAATTTATGTGCTTGAGAATAATATTCCCATTGATTCTCAATATTATCTTGAAAACCAACTTCAAAAGGTGTGTTCCTAAGCTACTATTTTTATTCTTAAAATGTCATTTTTCCTTTTGTCAGTCATTACAAACTTGACATGTTGACAGCCACTTCTGAGGATATTTGAACCTATTCTTAAGAATGCACAACAAGAGCTTTTCAAAGGAAAACATACAAGAAATTTAAAGAATTCAACTCCTTCAAACAGTGGAATAATGAAATTTGCTAAGAAACAGCTCAGCTGCCTTGGATGCAAAGCTTTAATCAGGTAAGATAATTCATAATATAGATGTTTTATATTCTGTCTGTATAATTTTAGTAGATTTGGAACTTGAATTCACTTAATGCCTACGATTGCATATGATGTTGTGGCACACTTCATTTTTCTTGTGACCGTAGAGAGCGAACATTTAGCAGTGATCATTTATTGACATTGTTAACTGATGAAAGAAAACCTATGTTGAATAATCCAATTTAAATTAACAAAAAAGGGATCAGTAAAGGACTTCTATGGTGTTACATTGGTGTTCCATAGCTTATACCTATTTGCTTGTGATCTCCTTAATCATTTGAGTACTGTCTTTTATGACTCTAGTGAAGCAGATCGAACACTTTGCACACATTGCAAAGGAAGGGAAGCTGAATTGTACTGCAAAACAGTGGCAAATGGTATGATCAAATTTTCGTTTGCAAATCTACATAAAATAATCTTAGATATTTAGAAAATCACATTTTCTTGCTTAGTTTCTTTATTCATTTAGGCTCCGTTTGGGACGGCTTTTTTTACTGCTTCTTGAAACAGTTTTCTAATATAAAAATTTTAATTTTTATACTAGAAAGTTGTTTCAAGAAGCAATAAAAAAGCCATCCCAATGAAAGCCTTAGCCTCTTTCAATTGAAGAGCCATTCCAGCTTAGCTCTTGTCTATTTTAGTCGTTACATAAGTATAATCTCCTTTTATCAATATTTTTAGTTGCTGAGTTGGAGGTGCTTTTTGGGAGGCTTTGGACACAATGCCAGGAATGCCAAGGTTCACTTCACCAAGATGTTTTGTGTACAAGGTAGGCTATAGATTTAGGTTTCGTTTGGGACGGCTTTTTTATTACTTTTTAAAACTGCTTTCTAATACAAAAATTAAAAATTTTGTACTAAAAAACTGCTTTAAGAAGCAGTAAGAAAGCTGTCCCAAACGAAGCCTTAAAAAAACTGTATATCTGTCTATTTTTTTGTATTATACATTTCTGTAGGTAATTTAACTGGGTTTAATCTTTGAAATCTTAGTCGGGATTGCCCAATCTTTTATCGGAGGAAGAAAGCACAGAAAGATATGGCTGAGGCTATGATGCATTTGGATCGTTGGGAGTTCTGAGTTTCAGATTGTGATCAATTTACTCAATATTTAAGTGCTTTCTGCCATTTCCCTTCCACCTCTTGCATATGGCTATGTTACTTGGATACCCATAGTATTCATATTAGTAAGTCTCGCCAGTTTAGTGAACTTGAAGTCCGCCGCCACTGTCATCCGCCGCCATTAAAGTTCTAAGTCGTGCAAGCGCACTTCATGTTCATTGTGCTCAAAACTTGGCAGCACAGTTAACAGCAGGCAAGACTGATCGATCACAATAGTTTACAAGCTCTGAAATTTATATCCATTTAAGCCTGTTGTTTCAGCTCCTGATTTGAAGCTTTCAAAAATATGATTTTTGGGAAAGAGAATGGCCACCAAAGCCCCCATCTGAGCAGTTTTCCAGTAGGTTTAACCATTAGATTGTCAGCTGAACAAGCTTTCTGTTCTATGTATTATGTTGTAAAATAGAATTAGAAGAATGAGTTAACTTTATATTATCATCAACAATCATTCTTCTAGCGAAGTAACATCTCATATTGCCAATGAGTTTTTTTTATTTTAGGGTTCATGTATCAACTATTGAACGCATATCAAAGAAGGAAAACATAATTATTGTGGCCATTATGAACCAAAATATAAAATGTAATGTAAAATGTTGTGAAAAAATGCAATTTGTTTTCTTTAGAATTGTATGGATGAGTGCAAATTAAATATTGGTGATTTTTTTTTTTGACTGTTTTGAATTAAAATGAATGTAATATAAAGTTCAATAATGATGTAAATGGTGATTTATAGTTATGACGTCAGTTGAGGCTAGTGCTAATTGGTAGCATTGATTGGTGGTGACTGGTGGTGATAATGATAGAGAATTTATAGTGTTTGAAAATAGTTAAATATAATAATTTTAAATGTATTAAAATTAAATTTAAGGGTGATTCAAATGTTTTAAAAATGTATTAAAAAATTAAATAATTTTTAAAAATTAAATTTATTAGAATATGAATAAAAGTTATTTTTTATTTTCTTTTGCTCACAATAAATTAAAAAAAAATATATATATATATATTTTTTTTCTCTACAATTATTTAAACAAACAGTGTTAATCATCTTAAATGACCCCTAAGGTTCAACTTGGGGGTGTTTTGTAATCGCATTTTTTTAAAAAATATTATCACTATTGTGTTTGGTTGATTTTCTTGCTGCTTTTTAAAAATTTATATGATGAAAATTTATATTTATAATTAAATTTATTACTATTATAATTATAAGAAATTTATTTTCTTAAGCAGCAAGAAAATCATAATTTAAACAAACAGTTGTAATCATCTTAACAAAAACTTTTCCCATTATCCTGCAGTACAAGCCTTTGGATTTTGCATTCCTTACAAGTTTGTTCACAATGAAAAGTATGTGGAAGATTCTGCCCATCGGAAAATGAGGAATCAAGAAAGACGAATGATAATTGTATTTAATATAATATGTCTGCGACTCCTTTTCAAGGGAATAATAAGCTCTCTGTTTGGGCGATGGTTATAGCTCCATTTTAATCAGTAATCTATATTTTCTAGGCTGGTAGGTTTACTATGCATGGAATGTAGAAGATTCCTCTTATCAAGAAATCTAAAATCAGGAGAGATGGGAAGCCACTGTTGTTTGCATGCAAAGCTCGTGCTTGCTTAGATTGTTTATTACGTTCAAGGATTGACTGTAGTTGATGACAGTTGATGATGAATGTTTGGTCAATTTGGTCGGCGGATGTTCGGCATCGGCGTATGGTTGATGACTGGTGCAGAGAGTTCGAGATGAGTTGGTGTCGTCAATTTTGGTCAATGATCAGTATTGAGTGTTTAGACTATATATAAAATTGTAATTATATAGTAGCGGTGCAAACGTGTCATGCTGAACTTGAGCTCGGATAGCTGGCCAGATCGCGAGCACGAACTCAAGCTCGATCGACTTAAGCTCCAATGGCCTGCTCGAGCTCAGCTTGTCGCGATGGATGCAAGCTTGTGAGCAGCTTCCATGGTGTACTCTTCTAGCTCAAATCGTGCATTCGCACGCGATTATGTGGTTCCACTTTTTGCACTAGAGCCACTCGACGTTTAATCGAGTCAAGTTTCATCTAGATCGAACTTGAGCTCAATAATCCAATGAGCTATAAAATCTGCTCGAGCTCGAAACTCGATAAACTAGGCTCACGAGCTCACAAACATGTTAACGAGTTGAGCTCGAGTCGGCTTAACTCGTTTGCACCCCTATCTAGATCTAGGAATCATTGGTTGGTTGTAAAAGTAATTATAACTCTCAAATTATCTATGATTTTCAAATGTTCTCACTTTAGAGTGCATAATAATTAGTAAAAAGCTACTGATTGGGTTAAATGAGTTCAAAAAAGTTTAATTGGGCAGATGTTGATTATTAGGTGTCAAATCAGACAACAATACAATTTGGCTTCTTGTCTGGCCTTTTTAGGGCTCTTTTTTATTTTTGATTTGATTGAATTTTCATAAAGTTTTTAAATAATTTCTTTTATGACGTTTAATTGTACTTTTTGTGTAATTTTTTTGGCTAGAAATTGGAATTAATATTTTATATAGTTTTTAACACTAAAATCAATTGAAAATTGATTTTTTTTTTAATTTTAATAAAAATTATTTCTGCTTGAAATTTCCAATTCCTCGTTAAATTTGGCTTAGCTGATGCAACCAAGCTAAATCTGATAATTATATGTAGCTTGCGTGCCGCAATAGAGTTTGAAAGAGAAAGAAGAAAAATAGCTTCTTTGTGCCCCTCGCAGGAAAGGAAAAAAAAAAAAGAAACGTTTGGAACAACTTTTTTTAAATAAATTTTTGATAAAAAAAGGATTTAGTTTAAAACATTTTATATTAAAACCCCGCTTTAAAAAACAGTAAAAAATAAAAAAGTTATTATGTGCGGAGACCAGATGCAGCTCTACATCGGGAGATGAATCACGTGTAGCCACGTCAGTGGTACCGACCCGCGGTACACAACAAATCCAATTAATAAAAAAATTACATGCATTTATTTTATACTTGATACATCACCAAAAATTGACTTGATCATGCACGAATCTCAAGACATTTAAGTTGGAAACTTCTAAAATCAAATTCGGAATCATATGAACTCTGATTTCAGCAAACTTATAGTCAAACTGAAGTCTCAAAGAGATGAACCTAATTACACCAAAATCGGTCCAAACCAAGCCCAAATGGGTCCAAATCGGGGGCCCAAACAACATTTAAAAGGATCAAAGCATTAGTTGAATGACAAAATGATATCCAAATATGACATGCTTATAGTCAAATTGAGCGGCTAGGCAAGACGAATCCAACGAGCCCATGATCGTTAAATTTTGACATCGTTAAGGCACTTAACTCTTTATGATATGGGGAATCAATACGAGCCATCCGAAGGAACACTTCGAACATGCCCCGGATATTTACTAGTTTTGCGGGGTGTGCCGCCTTGAAAATCTATAAATAGACCCACACTATCTACATGAAGGGGACCTCTGGCTAGAGATTGGATAGAGCTCTGAAGCTTCAAGAGCTCCAGCATCACTGTCGACGAACCCCCATCGATTGTCGTCAGACCATCCCTCGGCCGGCAATCACCGTTGAACTTCCACCCGACCGCCACCAGAATTCAGCCTGACTGTCGTCAGACCACCACCCAGTCGCCAACCACCGTTGGATTTTAGCCTGACCATCATCAGACCACCACCAGATGGCCGACCTCCGCATAACTTCCACCCGGACGACATCCGCCACCGAACTTCCACCCCTATCTAGATCTTGAATCATTGGTTGGTTGTAAAAGATGAAAACTCTCAAATTATCTATGATTTTCAAGTGTTCTCACTTTAGAGTGCATAATAATTAGTAAAAAGCTACTGATTGGGTTAAATGAGTTCAAAAAAGTTTAATTGGTCAGATGTTGATTTTAGGTGTCAAATCAGACAACATTATAAATTTTTGATAAAAAAAGTTTTTAATTTAAAAAATTTTATATTAAAAACAGTGAAAAAGGAAAAAAATTATTATGTGGACCCAGCTCTACATCGGAAGATGAATCACGTGTAGTCACATCAGTGGTACCGAGAAGTACTGAGCCGCAGTACACAGCAAAGAGGTGCCATGGTGCTTTCTAGTTGGTTTGCGGACAACGTTCGACATTTGCGAAGAATAATTAATCGTAAAAAAGTAATTATTCCAAACAAAATTAAAATAATTGTTGTTGAAGTATGACAAACAAGCATACCAACACTTTGGTGCTGCATTTTAGATCATGTAAAATATATAAGTAATAAATAATTAAGTGAACGACATTTATAATGAGAGGCTTTTTCAGTGTTTGGTTTGATATGGAAGGGGTGTAAAGTAATTTAAATATAGGGATTTTGAAAATATTTAAATTTGATTATTTTTAAATACACTATAAATTCTTTGTTATTATTACCATTACCATTGTCATTGACCACCACCAATCACCACCGACAACTTTCTAACATCACCCCTGTTGATTGAGTTCACTGCTAGCCACCATTGTGATTGGTGTTGTCTGCCAAAGGTCACTACTAGTAGCAAGGATTTTTCGGACCGGGTTTTCGTGTCGTGTCAAATATTGACACCCCTAGTTTCAAATATATTATATTTCTTTTAAATTGCATTATATTTTACTATGCATTCATTTTTTCAGCAAAACCCACCACTGTTTGTCCGGGTGGTGAAGAGCCGGCTGGTCAAAACCCATGTTCCTGGTTCGAATCCCTTGCCAAGCAGTGAAAGCCTTATGTGTTGACCCGTTTAAATTGACGTGGGTTGTATGTTAGGTCGACCGGGATTTTCACTAGCCTAAGGACAATACTTCCTCGTTACAAAAAAAAAAAAAAACCAGAAAAAAAAAAAAAAAAAACCAGCAAATCAAATGGCCCTGAGTCTTTATTTGCTTTATTGTTTTCATGTTTTATTTCTGATAAAACGAACTTTATTTACATAAAAAAAAAAAATTCTTCTAAGGCTAAAAACTCGTTGATGAATGCAAAATGCAAATTTCTCTGTTTTTTTTTTAAAAGAAAGTTGGTTTGCCCCAAAGTAACAATGGCTGTTTTATGAATGTTAGGAATTTTAGAAGTTTATTCGACTATAATAAAAATAGCAGGCCATGACTTCTCTAACTATACCTTATTTTACGTAAACAAAATGATTAGGAGCAGCATACACAACTGTAGCTATTTTTTTATTGTTTTTTAAAAAATTCTTAACTGTCAAAATTTAATTTTTTTTTCTAAAAAACTGCTTTAAGAAGCAGTAAGAAGTTGTCCCAAGCTAAGGGTTCAAAATGCAAATTTTTTTTTTTTTGGGGACATTTAGGCCATTTAAGGCAAACTCACACACACAACGCATACACAAAGACTCGAACCTTGGACCTCTTAGTTGGAAGCCTAAGCTCTCAACCAATAGGCCAAGGAGAGTTGTGTAAATGCAAATTTCTCTGTTTGTTTTTTTAAAAGAAAGTTGGTTTGCCCCAAAGTAACAATGGCTGTTTTATGAATGTTAGGAATTTTATAAGTTTTTTCGACTAGAATAGAAATAGCAGGCCATGACTTCTCTAACTATACCTTATTTTACGTAAACAAAATGATTAGGAGCAGCACACAAAAATGTAGCTATTTTTTATTGTTTTTTAAAAAATTCTTAACTGTCAAAATTTAATTTTTTTTCTAAAAAATTGCTTTAATAAGTAGTAAGAAGTTGTCCCAAGCTAAGGGTTCGTTTGGGACGGCTTTTTTATTGCTTTCTAAAGCGGAGTTTTAATATAAATTTTTTTATTTTTGTAATAAAACTCTGTTTTAGAAAGCAATAAAAAAGCCGTCCCAAACGAAGTCTAAGCCTAACGTTTCGTTTGTAATAATTTTCTTAATGCTTTTTAAAATAACATTTTAACTAAAAATTTCAAAATTTTTACTAAAATTTTGCTTTAAAAAGAAATAAAAAATGTCATCCTAAATGAAGCCTCTATATCTTATCTTTGTTGTTATGTTTCAACTTATTAAGCAGTGTTGTATCTTAATGGGACAAGTCTCTTGGTACTTCCTACAGCTGTTATGAAACATTTAAAGCAAATGTGTTAAAAAAGTTACTATTTACTGGTGATACTGTTGAGAAAATGTAGCTTATACTTTGGGATCATTAAAGCTAAGGCAGTAGAAAGATTATTGCAACTCTATTTAGGCTTCGTTTGGGACGGCTTTCTTTTTGCTTCTTAAAGCAGCTTCATGTACTAGGAAACTACTTTAAGAATCAATAAGAAAGCCGTCCCAAACAAAACCTTAGTCTTTATTTGACTGCAACTATTTAGAATTTAAGTATATTTTAAGTATGTTTTGAAATAAATTTAATAGAGAAAATGATTAAAGTAATCCCCAATTATATTAAATGAATATTGTGGTCTCTCAGCTTCTTAAAGAGACATTAAAATAGTTTTATTATGAGACTATTTTGATTATTTTTTAAAGATTTGAAGGATAAAAATGATCATTTAAATAGTCGTGGATCATTTTAATCATTCATAAAGAGTCAAGGGATTATTTTGGTCCTCAAATACATTAGCACATGAATCAAAATAATCCTATATTTTTAATATTTTAAATTTATTTTATTCTCATTTAAACCCTAAAAAAATCAAAACACCTACACTTTGAATACAATATACTCACAATCTCTCCAATCAAATAGCCCCTTAGCTCTTTCCTCGTCCTTCTAATGTACTACCACTGCTAATTCCAAGAGACTTTGTTATTTCTTTCACAACCAGGGGCGGAACCCCCTTGTGTCAAGGGGGGAATTGGCCCCCCCAAAAAAATTATTTATTTATTATATGATTATTTAGATAATTTGTTCATAAATCTATGTTTTAGTCTTTATTATAAGGATTTTAAGGCAATTGACCTTCCTAAAAGTTTTAAAATATTATGGTCTTTCGGCAATTGCCCCCTGTATAATTAAACACATTATGTAGAGGTGTTATTGTCAGGGTCGAATTTTGCTAGGGGGCACTGTCCCGTTGGACCCCTGATATATCTGTCAACAGTTACTTATAAATTTGCCCCACCCCCTCTGAAAATTACAGCTGGTTCTGCCCCTGTTCAAAACCCTTAGATCTTTTGGAGAAATGTGGCACTCTGTAGCTATTCTATTCTTGTTTGAACGAAATGAAAACTTCTGATAACTTTCACATTTATTCAATGAGGCTTTCATCTCTCTCATGAATTCATCAGAAATTATCTTCACAATTATTAGAAATTTCTGCTTAGCCCTTCTAATTGGTTTGGCAAGTCTACATGTTCAATTTCCTCGAATGGGAATGATGCCTTCTTTAAGAAGTTTCCCCTATCTTTACATGTATATTTACCTATTATTTGGAGGATATTATATGGTAATTCACCTTCTTCATTAAAAAAATATCAACAAATAAAATTAGCTCAGAATTTTTAATGATTTTTTTATTAGAATGAGTCATAAATTATTGAATTAATTTTGAGAATCATAAAATATTAATTTTATAAGTATTAATGTATTCATCTTAAAGCAAATTTAATAATTTTTGTTAAGGAAGTAAAACCTTGCGAGTTGCTGCTAAGCAAACAAGAAACATAAAATTGTAGAGGGAAGAAAGAACGTCGGGATTTTACGTGGGAAAATCCGATATTGACAAAAAAGCATAGAGCCACACCACATCAAAAAATTTACTATGGAATTTGAAACAATTTGTACATCTCTCTTTTCTCTCACACTCTCTTATTGTCTCCCTTTACTCTTGCATTGTTTTTATATTAGAACTAATAAATAGAAATGCATTAAACCACCGAAGGGATGCAACACTTCCATCAAAATTGGGAAAGAAAATTGCCCAACCCGTCTCGCAGGGTCATGGCATTAGGTTTTGAGCTATGTGCTCTACTCTCTATCTCTAATTTGTCTAAGACCGCCGCAGTACAGGGGTGTGGAACACTGCAACACTCCACTCTCTGTCTTCTGCTTAAGTCGTAGCATCGGGGTTTGGAGTGCCGAAGCGCTCCGCTCTCAATATGCCTCCAACATACCATACAATGCAGTAGCACTTGAGTACAAAGTTGTATGAAAAAAAAAAATCATTTACAAAGCGCCTGAACCCAAGCAAGGGAATGACCCTCTACAACCACCAGGGAGCTTGATCAATAGAACTGAGTTCCATGGCAAAAGTACAAGACGATTGATCTCCACAGCCATGTTCCACACAAAACTAACAGTTATGAAATACTTTTATGTTAAATTCTTTCCAATATTATCTCCAAAACCAAAAGATTAATTATGCTCAAAAGCAAATGTTTTTGTCCTCACTTTTCAAACTTGTTTTAAAAGAAGTTTGCAGGCAAGTATTTTTTTCTTCCCCTAATTTTAGCTTATGTTGTTTTTATTTAGTATATATAACGTATATAGACCTATTTTTTAAAATTGTATTTGCGTGTTTTTTAATATATATATATATTCATTTGGGATGACTTTTTTACTGTTTCTTAAATCAACTTTTTAGTACAAAAATTAAAATTTTTATTCTACAAAGCCGCTTTACGAAGCAGTAAAAAAGTTGTCTCAAATGAAGCAAAAAATTGCATAATTTATGTTTGAGTTACCAACAAATTCGAAGAAATACACTATATATTCTTTATCAATGTCATTCGTCATTGTCACCTGTTGCTACCACCCTTTGCTTCACTAACTGCCAACCTCGTCAACCATTGCCACGTCCACCATCGCTTCTTGTCAACCATGATATTTAAGCTTTTATATTATATTTCTTTTACTATAAGCTAAATAAAAAATATTATTACCTGCATTTATTTTACACTTATACATACAATTTCAAATATTTTAAATATATTATATTTATTTTACACTGTATTTTATTTTATCCTCCATTCTTTTTTTGGCCGACCGAATAACCTCTAAATCTTAATTTCCAAGAATTTGCATTCCCATTAATCTATTAAATATTTTTGGAAAGCAACAACAAATTGTAATTTTGCCTCATTTTACACTTATACATACAACTTCGAATATTTTAAATATATTATATTTATTTTACACTGTATTTTATTTTATCCTCCATTCTTTTTTTGGCCGACCGAATAACCTCTAAATCTTAATTTCCAAGAATTTGCATTCCCATTAATCTATTAAATATTTTTGGAAAGCAACAACAAATTGTAATTTTGCCTCAACCACCATCCTAAAACAAATCGTCTTTATCTACGAAAATGCCATGAAACTGAAGACCGAAAACAAAATTTCTAAGAAAATGAAATATTAAAATCAAACACTGTTTTATCAGAAATTTTTTTATTTAATATATCCTGATAGAATAATTCGAAAAGCTCAAAAAAATTACTAATTA